ATGATACAATATTAACCATTTATAATGAACATTTTCATGTTTTCTGCTTTTCCTTTTCCAACAACTTGAACTGTTGAACCTTAAATTAACCAACAGCAGTTTTTCCTAAGTGAGAACTTCTCAATTCCTCCTTTAGAAATTAAAAAATGTCCCAACAATGTGAATTAAGCTCTTTGTTTATATAAAACTAACATTAGATAACCACTAAAACCAACGCTAACTCTGCATGCAGCTCAACACGAACCGCCGGTTTAAACAGCTAGTTATCAAGTTTACAGATAAAAGTAGCTGAAAGAAAAAAATCAGACTAAACTCTGACTTAATTAATAACTTTTATAAGAATAAAAACTGTCTTTTAATCGAGCATTAGCAGCGAGCTAACGAGCGTTGAATGACGACGTTTCAGTGACGTTGTTGTTGTTTTTAGCTCTTTTTCGCTCTTTTTAGCTTTCAGCGATGAACTGCCCACTTACCTGTATTCCGTTACAATGCGCTGAACAAAAAATATGTTCAAAACAAGATAAAAGTTGGAGGATTTTATTTAAAAGATAAATAATGCCCAAAATGCCGCCATGCGCACGAGAAACTACGTCCGGCTTTCTTCTTCTACTGATGTGAAAGGTGTTGAGCACTCGATGTTGTGCTCACTGTCGCCCCTCAGTGGTGGGCGGGTAACGCGACAAACAGACGACTCGACAAAGTATCGAGCTTTTAATACACAAATATCGCGACAGAGAGAGAGTATTTGCCACTAAATTAAGTTACATGCTTATTCTTACTATATTTCATGATCTCTAGAGCCTCAGTCATAGCGTAATTCAACGCTAGTAAATTTAAGTTTTGTTTTGAAAGCACTCACCGGAAATGGTAGTACACTATCATCGCTGCCTCTTGACGTTCGTGTACAAGTTTTAATTTAAACGGTTTCGCCGAGAGATTATTAATATGTCCTGCATTTAACTGCATATATAGCGTAATGATGTGACAAATAAAATTAATAAAATTACAACACGGTGCAAGAATAGGCACGAAATAAAGTGAAGGTAGACACGATAGCATGCTCTGATTTCCGGTAATGCCTTTAACAATAAAAGGCTTAAACTAGAGAGCGCTGTAGTTGCGCCCTGTGGCCACTGGAGGGCAGTAAACATTCACACATGACATCCATAAACTGCAGTTGGTCATAAAATTAATATACCTGAAAATAATGCGTTTGGGGAACGGGAAAGGCAGTTTTATTACTAAATACAAATGAAGTCTACCTAGTATTAGTAGTACCTAGTGTACTCTATAAGTAGGCCTAATAGAGTATTTTATTGGAACCATACATTTATAAACCCATAAACCTTAAACTAAAAACCGCAATATGGAGAAAACCAGGGACTTTATTAGCAATAATAGGACTTAAACCAGTTAACTTGTGCTCAGTTGATATATAGTTGTAGTATACATGCTAATATTTGCCTAAATTTAAAGTAAAGTGCATTAATATGAAGTATTTCAAAAAAGGACTGATGTTCAAATATAAACTGTCCTTTCTGTGGCACTGATTGATTATCAGGGAGATGGTTATGGATTATTGAGTTATTGATGAGGTTTGGTGATAGTATAAATTCAGACACAGGCAGAGTTTCAGTTGATGGCTTTATTCCTGCTGGTGTTTAATATTTCCTTCAGTAGGCCTGGCCTACACAGTAAAGACACAACAGACCGATAAACAAGTCCAACAAACAAACACACTCTTACAACTTAGTCATACATTTCAAAATCAGACATATATTCTCTGAGAAATTGATAAAAATAATCTGTTGAAATGCCCATTTCCACCACATGGCAGTGTACTGTGTTCATTTATTGAATCAGAATCAGCTTTATTGGCCAAATACGTACACATACAAAGGATTGTACTTCAGGTTTTATATTGCTTTCAATGTATGTATACAAGAACAGACATAACAAAGCTGAACAAATATAGTTAGGAGTACACAGAACTGTTTATGAGTCTATAATTTAATATTTAATATTCAATAAAAAGTGCAGTTTGTAAGAAAACACACTTATATTTGTTATTTGAGCGCAACCTGGTTGACATAATTGTCCATAACAGCATTCACACAGATTCCCCAGTTGACCCGGTTTAACACTTAAAAGCAACACACACAGTCCCATCGAGGGGAATTTATTATGTAAATACCCTCAAACTGCAAAGTTATATGCTTACTAATCTTTTTTTATTAAACAAAGCATCGGATTTGTCATTGATTTCCTGCCTTTGGGTGGCAGGTCTCCATAATCATTACCCTGCTGATGTTAAAGATAGACTCACTTCACTGACAGTACAGATGATTTTATTGCCTTGAACTTTACTTTCTGGGACTATTTTACCTGAGAATATGACTACAAGTGTCAACTGGCCCGTTAATGATCTCCTTTGCCCCCCCCACACACACATCTGTCTCTCTGTTAGTGTGTGACCCCTCTACTCTGCCACCAGCTTCCTCAGCCGCTGCACCACGTCCTCCGCGCTCACCCACGGGACCGTGACCGCCTTGAACTCCCCGGGCATGGCTTCGTGGGTCTCCGTGATCAGTCGGTGCATGGGGAAGTCCCGCCGCGGGAAAGCCACGTCCCGGGGTCCGAGGGAGAGCGCCGGGCAGAAGTCGTTGGCTCCGTCCCCAACGTAGAAGACCCTCTGGTAGGGACGGCCCCTCTCCTGCGTCCTGCGGGCCACATAGTCCCTGACCACCACCTGCTTGCACATGTTGTCGGGGCACCGCGGGCAGTCGTGGGAGTGGAAGGGCTTCATCACCAGCCGGCCGTCCTTGTTGAAGGTGGCTGGGTTGGTGAAGATCCGGTGGAAGAGCTGGCGGGCCCCTGCGCGCCGGAGCCAGGACTCGATGAAGAAGGTGTTGGCGTCGGACAACAGCACCACCTCAAAGTCCCACTGGGGCCGGGTGCGGAGGAACTGGAAGAGGGTGATCATGCCGGGGGTGGCCGGGAGCTTCTCCATCACGTTGCGCATGTCGCTCTCGGTGACGCCCTGCTCCGCCAGGTAGGCCAGCACCCGCTGCATGTACTCGTTGTAGCGGCCGGGCTGGTAGGTGTCCTTCAGCCAGCCCGGGAGGTGTTGACCCGGAGCGGCCTGCACCACCATGTCGTCGCTGGTCTCGTCCACGATGGTCTCGTCGAAGTCAAAGAAGATGAGGAAGCGCTTGTCGGAGGGGATGTGAGTGGACTGGGAGGCCATGATCTCTGAGCGTCTGGACCTCGCGGGCTCCCCCTCGCCTGGGGGATTGGGTGGAACATAACAGCAGGTGAAGATTGAATCCCCCATGACTGACTATGCCACACCTCTTACTGTTGCACCAAAGTGGCACCAAATCTCCTCTCCTGCTCTCCCACTCTCTCCAGCATCCCACGCAAGGCAGGCCACAGTAAGGTGGAGGCTACCGAGGATTTCTGGGAAAAATCAGTGCATAAATAGACGAAGGAGTGGGGGTAAAAACAGGATCAGATATAAATGTAATGGATGTAATAATCTGAACATCAGCTAGATGAACAGAGTATGAACAAGCCCTAAAGAGAGCAGCCAGCAGCGCGTTTCTCTGAACAACAAGTGAAGGACTTTCTACAGAGGTAGTGAGGAGGAGGAGGAGGAGGGTGGGCGCATCCTGCTGAAGCACAAATGCAAATTAGGGAGATAAACATGATTATATTGGGATCTGAATGAACCGGGCTCTGCAAGCAAGCAAGCACATTTATCAGCTCCCATCAGCCCCCCCGTCTCACAGCCTGCAGGGGGGGTTGCTGCCTGCGTACCTCTGGGTTGTAGGTGGTGTCAGCAGTGGATATCCGCTCTTCTCATGTGTTTCTCTGATCCC